TTTGAGTTGTATCGTAAAGAAAGTTCATATTTGTATTAGAATTTATCATGAACTACATAGTAAGTATATCACATTACTAGTTTAACAACATCACATTACATGATTAGCATAATCACATGTGATTGTTATTGACCTATTTTGACTAGTGTTACATAAGGAGGCCAACCAAGAGGTTAAAGTTCTTTAAATAGGGTGCAACACCCTAAATATTAGGGTTTCCTAAACAGCGTCCAACTCGTCGAGTTGGCTCCTCAACTCGCCGAGTTTTCTCATTAAACCCCGCGACTAAAACAACTTCTACTCGCCGAGGTGAGGCTCCTCAACTCGTCGAGTAGACCCTTTAATCCTCATAATTCTTCATCTTCAACACGTCGAGTTGGCTCCTCCAATTCGCCGAATTCAACTCCAAATTAGTCTAAATTCCACAATTAATCTTCTAGATTCCGAGTGTTACAATATATATATATATATATATATATATATATATATATATATATATATAAGAAAGAGAAAAAAACAAATATTAAATAATTTTATTGGAAGACTTATACTTATTCGGGTTATTGTTTTAATTTGTTAATTCGAAAAAAATCATTATATAATTTAAACGAACAAAACGTCAAAAAAACAATATTAAAAAATATGTTTAAATAAAACATCAAAAATATTAAAAGATTTTTAAACCACAAAAACAAAAATGAATAAATAAAAAAAAGATAAAAAAAATAATATAAATAAAAATAATAATAATAATAATAATAATAATAATATGATTTTTATATAATTTAGATAATTGATTTAAAAAAATAAAAATAATTTTATAAATACTCTATATTAATTCTTTTAAATAAATATTAAAAACAATTATATATATATATATATATATATATATATATATATATATATATATATATATAATTGTTAAAAGAAAAAGAAAAAAGAAAGAAAGGACAATTTGCTCATTTAATATGGACCAAGGACCTGCAGTGCAATTTTCACAAACCATAGGGATGTAACCTATCAAATTTTAAACTTAAGGACCAAAACTGAGAATTCGACCATGCCACAGGTACAATTTATGTAATTTACTCTAAAAATAAGATAAAATTACAAAAATGGTCTCAGTGGTTTGCCAAAAGTAACAAACTTAGTCCCTACTAATTTTTTTGATGCGTTTGGTCCTTGTGATTTGCAAAAGTTTCACTGGAGGTCCTTTTCATAATTCCGTCAGCTTGTAGCCATTTGGGGTCATTAATGTGGGGGTATATTCTTCTTTTTATGTTTAGCGCTCATTTAAGATGGGATTAGGCAGTGATACGTCATTAACCTATCCTATGATTAACCAGAGTCCAAGAAACCCCTTTTCATCTCCACTTCACCTTAGCTTACTGATCATCTTGACGATCTTCATCCTTCATCCACCGCATCCGAATTTAGGGTTTATCAACTAAAAATGGTATTGTGTAGTTGGAATTTACGTGGTCCTTATACGATTGCAATCGACCTTGATAAAGATTACAGTAAGTTGTTTAATTTTTTGTTTGGTGTTTCTTGGTTTGTATATTCAAAGCTCATCAATTTTTCTTTTTCAGATGGTCACGCAAATTTCTTCACTTCAAAGATACATCATGGTGGATTTTTTACAAAGTTCCCAGGAAGAAAGTACGTTGAGGGAAGGTTGGCATTCTTTGACTTTGTTGACACTGATCTTTTTTCAGTTCATGACCTAAATGACATGATTTGTGAGATAGGGTATTTTGCAGATGACACAATGTACTAGCATTATAGAATTCCTAATCTAGACTTAGATTTTGGATTGAAGGCTTTAGGAAATGATCAAGACGTTATATTTATGGCTCAATATGTCCCTCAAAACAAAGTGATTAATGTGTACGTTGAACATGGTTCTACAAGACTTCATACTTACTTCATGTCCCCAGGTAAAGTTGCTATTGAGCAACTGGGTGATGATCCTTCTCCTGAACTTAATAGGATTAGGCCTAATAAGATGGGAATTGGTTCCTGTAGCAATAAATTAGACATGAATGTCCCACTTAAAGAATCAGCTAATCAAGCACAGATACAAGATGGTGTGTATGATTTTTCCATGCCCCTGGTTCCTTTTTAGCCAAACAAACAAGATGTGGTTAATGAGTTTAAGGATGATTTGTATTTCCCTGTACCAAAAGAAATTGATACAATGCAAGAAATTACAGTTGATATTAATTGCCATGATCATAGGGAAATACTATATGATTTTGAGCCTTTTAGTAGTGATGGATATCAGAATATGGGTGAGTTTGAAAGAGAGGTTGAAGTTGAAGAAGAACAGGATGAAGAAGATGAACAAGGGCATGCAGAGGATTCAAAAGATGATTCAGAAGAGCATACATAAGAAGAGGATGATTCTGACTACATTGTTGACCCATAAGCTATTTTAGATGACTGGGAGGTTGATATGAGAGAGTTTAACAGTTGTGTGGATGAGGTTGAATGGTTTGGACAAGGACCAAACATAGAATTAGATTTAAACCAAGATGATGATTTAGGTGTGATCAACAATGATGAGTTTGAAAGTGCAGGATATGAGGAAGACCTAAGGAAGAGAATGTTAAAAAACTTGAACAAGAAGGTCCCTTGTTCTTCTGGGGTAGTTCATGTTACACCATTTTTTGTGGGTCAAGCTTTTAAAACCAAAAAAGATATACAGGGTCACATGAAGACGCTTTCAATAAAAACAAGGAGGGCCCTGCATATGGACAAAAATGAAAAATTGAGAGTAAGAGTAAAGTGTAAAGGGATGGTTCAAGATTCCACTGATGGTGGGCCCTCCACTATAAGTAAAGGCACATCAAAGGGCAAAACTATAATTTAACAAAAAGATTCTTGTCCTTTTGCATTTCAGATATCTAGATCTACGGAAGAGGAACAATGGTTGGTGAAGACAATTATTGATGAGCATTTATGCTTACAAAGTAGAAATGTGAAGGCATGTACATCTAGATACATGGAAAGCACTATTCTCCAAAAAGTGGATTTCGACCCTCGCATCCCAGTTATAGCCTTACAGGAGGAGCTTCAAATGGATTTGGAATTAAGTATATCAAGAATGAAGGTGTTCAGGGCTAAATCAACTACAAAGGAACAACTGTATGGTGACTACGAAATGCAATATAATTTGCTTAGAGATTACTGTTTGGAGTTACAAACCAATAACCCAGGTACAACAGTGAAGTTGGAAGTGTGTAATGAACCAAATCCTGATGTTCAAAATCGTATTTTCAAGAGGATATACATTTATCTTGGAGCACTTAAGTTGGGGTTCAAATCTATAAAAGGGGAATTCCTTGGATTGGATGGATGTTTCTTGAAAGGACCACACCCTGGACAAATTCTAACAGTTGTGGGTCTTGATTCCAACAATAGAATATATCCACTAGCTTAAACAGTTGTGGAAGCTGAGACAACAAGTTCATGGACATGGTTCTTGGAATGCCTTGGTGGTGATTTGGATTTGGATGCATCATGCAACTTCACTTTTGTCTCTGGCAGACAAAAGGTATGAATACATATAACATAAGTCTCTTTTTTAGCTTGTAACAATATTAACTATAAATTACATTATATGAAGGGAATAATACCTGCAATAGCAAAATTGTTTCCAAATGCAGAGCATAGATAGTGTTTCAGACATATACATGAAAACATGAAGTTGCAATGGAGGGGTGAAGAGTTTAGAGATCACTTGTGGAGGTGTGATACAAATACAACCATTAGGTACTTTGAAAGGGCAATGAATGAGTTTAAAGATTTCAGTGAGGAGGCTCATGAATGGCTAAGTAAGATTCCTCTAGTTCATTGGGCTAGGTCTTATTTCATATGTAGAGCACATTCAGACTGTCTGTTAAGCAATTTGTGTGAAGTATTCAACTCTAAGCTAGAGCATGGTAGGGACAAGCCTATCATTACTTGTTTAGAGTACATTAGAATGTACTTGATGAAGAGACATTGCATTGTACAACAAAAAAAAATGGTAAATGAAGAAGTATATTAACCCTTACTACAACTACTATACTTGACACAATCAAAACAGCTGCAAGCAAATATAGGGCACTCTTCTATGGTTCTGGAAAATATCAAGTGATTGGTATGATGTTTGATCAGTATGTGGTCAACTTGAAAGATGGGACATGTAGTTGTAGGTATTGGGAGATAACATGGATAGTCTGCAGGCATGGAGTTTGTGAAACATGGGAACATATTCAAAATGGTGAAAAAACCCAACAACCTGAATATTGGGTGCATCCATGTTATAAGCTAGAAACATGGAGGGAAATGTACTCTAACAAAATATATCCAATCAATGGAAGGAGCATGTGGCCAAAATCTAGATGTCCAACCACTCTTATACCCCCTACACATCACATACAAGTAAGTTGAATATTGGTTAACATAGTTTTTTATTCATCCAGTTTTATGATTTCCTTAATATTTTTGTAGGTTGGAAGGCCCAAGAAAAAGAGGAGGAGGACTATAGATAAGCCTACTAACCAGTCAACAAACCTATCTAGGAAATTCTTGACTGTTACTTGTTCCAAGTGTCATAATAAAGGACATAACTCTAGAACATGTAAGTAGGGGTGACAATGGGTTGGGTTGGGTCATAAATGGGTTGACCTGTTTAGATAAACGGGTTGAAAATCTCTACCCAACCTAACCTATTTATATAAACAGGTTGAAAGTTTCAACCCAACCCAACATTTTTAGTTAATGGGTTGCAATCGGGTTGACCTGATTAATGTCTTCCCAACCCAACCTGTTTAATAAACGGGTTGAACATAGGTTGACCTATTTATATTTCCAAAAAAAAAACTTAAACATTCGTAAATCATTAAATCCATCAAAAAAATCACATAACACTTAAAGGTTCAAAATAAATTCAAAACAACACAACCATAACTCCATAACATAAACTCAAATCAAATGTTTAATTTCTAATTCTAAGCAACTTGACTTTCACTTTCACCAACTCCACTTCCATTTCCGGTATGATTTTCTTGTTCATCGTCCATCTTCTCCATCATGATAGCACCACAAATCTCCTTAAGTTGGGATTCCATTTTTTCTATACAATATATAAACTTAATGTTAATAATTAACTATAAAGAACATATGGTTGTAAATGATAACAATTAAAATGTATAAATAAGAAATAAGAAGTGAAATCTAACCTTCTCCAAATACCCAATCTCTTAGACAAATAATAGCCTCAACTATAGAAGGAGCCAAAGAACTTCTATAAGCATCAAGTACCCTGCCACATGTGTTGAATGCAGATTCTGATGCCACAGTTGAGATAGGAACAACTAAGATGTCCCTAGCCATTCGAGCAATAGTTCGATATCGAATGTCATGAGTTCTCCAATAATCCAAGATGTTGAAATTGTTAACTCGTGGCATGTGTTTCTCCTCTAAATAACACTCGATTTTAGACTTCACAGGTTGAGAGGTAACCTTGGTTGAAAATTTATCAAAGTCCTGAAATAATCAAAATAATACATAACTATATAAGTACCATGAAAGTACATTGTCATTGAACTGCCATTAAACATCAGGCTTTAAAATAAAAAAATGTTTGAGATCAGAATGCATCAGACCTAAAAGTAGAGTGGTAGTTAGTATCAGACATTAAAAATACCACCTGTAAACCTTTTTTTTTACATCAGACATTATTTGATAGATATATAGCATTAGACATTAAAAAAACATCATTTGCATTAGACAATAAGATTTTAATGTAATTAGGAAACTTATCAAGAAATTAAAAAAAACATTAGAATTATAATTAGCAACTAGCAAGTAAGCATCAAACATTAAAAAAAATAAAAAGGTGAAATAGTAGATTAATAGTAAAGAACTTACCATCATCAGTGAAGAAGAAGCTCCATCTAAGTCATCATGACGTTTTTTTTGAGAGTCTGACATACTCAGAGTTGTACCCGTCCCCATACACTTTCTCATATCCCCATTCAACCATATGAAATTTGTATCGAGGATCTAAAACAACCGCAATCGCCATAACCGTGCTAAATTCAGCCCAATGCTTCTCAAAATTTTCATACATCCTTGTTGCCATATTTTTCATAAACCTATCATGGCTGTCTTTTTGTTTGTGTAACAACACTCGAACCATCAAAACATTGGCAAAATAAAGATTAGTAGTAGGATACTTAGAACCAGAAAAAGCACATGTCACCTCATAGAAAACCTTTAAAAACTTGAAAATTCTTTCAATTTTACCCCACTCCTCACTTGTTGGACAATGTGAATAGTTAAAATCTGTCTTTTGCAAATGAATAAATGTCTTTTTGTAGTACACAAAAGATTCTAACATCATATAGGTGGAGTTCCATCGAGTGGGAACATCTTGCTTTAGACCCTTAGATAATTGTAACTCTACACATGTAACACTATCTTTGAACATTTTCTTCCTCAATTGAGAACCCTTATAGTACTTTACACTCTCTCTAACCTTTATGACATCATCATCTAACTCTTTCAAACCATTTGGACAATTAGATATAAAATGTGTGCACAACACCTCACATGAAAGTATGCACCTTCCGAAAGCAAATCAATTTCAGTTTTAAGTAAATCGGCCATCACATTGTTGGAAGAAGCATTATCCAAAGTAATTGAAAACACTTTTTTTAATTCCGTAATCCTTCAAAAGACTAAAAACATGATTACTCATAGCAAGATCGGTGTGTGGTGGAGGCAAAAACTGAAGTTAAGTATTAGTTTTTGCAAGCACCAATAACTATCAATGAAATGAGCTGTTAAAGATAGATAACCATCAGTGGTTATAGATGTCCAACAATTAGATGTTAAACATATTCTACCTGGGGTACAACTCAACAAATCTTTTATTTTTAACTTTTCAATCCCAAACATATTTTTGATATCAGATTTGATTGTATTCCTTTTAACAAGATTCACTTCATGATTTAAATAAGTGAAACATCGTTTGATGCCCTCATATTCTACAAACTGAAATGGCAAATCATGCCTCACAATAGCTATAGCTAATAATTCACGAAATGTAGAAGGGTTAAAATCAGGAACCATATTAGTCAAAGAACCACCACTACCACCACCATCTAATATCATTTGGCCAACTTCCTTAAATCATTTTTTTTGCAGTTTTCAATATGGCGTTTCAAATTTCCATTACCCATTCTACTTTCAGCATATAAACCTTACCACACTTTTTACACTTACAGTAAGTTTAACCTTTTTTCATCACGTTTGAGAAATTCATAGTGGGGCCAGACATTTGATGTTAGTTTCCGTAGGACGTTTGGCATCAACACTTGAGTTATTTGGCTTTACTTCTTTATTTTTCCTTGTCTTGTTTGGCTTTGGTGGAGGTGTAGGAGACTGAATACATCATCTTCTGATATTTCCACTGCATTCATCCTAAAAATAAAAAAATCAAATATTAGAAATTTAGATCGAACTGAAAAGTTTAATGCTTAATACGATAATACCTCACTGGCGATTGGTGAATGGCGATTCTGTTGCTAGGGTTCGACATCTGTTTGTAGCTAAGGTATTAACAAGTGCGATTTCAAGTAAAGGAAGGTCAAAAATTAGGGTGTTTGGCATGAGATTTGAGAAGGAAACAAAAACGAAGGAAACTAGAAAATTTGTTTTGTACTTGTGGTGTGCTTATATACTGGTTACAGAGGAATATGATATGTGCGAAGATGAAAAGTCATCTAGTAATACTAAATAGCGAAAGATTTCTTGGATAAATAAAATAATTAACAAATAACCCGTTAGGCAATTAATAATAAATTAAAATAATAATAGTGAATTAATATATATATATATATATATATATATATTAAAAAATATTAAAAAGTTTAAACGGGTTGGCGGGTTGTAAACGAGTTAAGAATTCCAACCCTAACCCAACCCATTTAATTAAACGGGTTAAACGGGTTGACCAGTTTATTTAAACGGGTTGAAAATCTTAACCCAACCTGTTTTTTATTGTGTTGGGTACGGGTTGGATTGGCGGGTTTGGGTTGGGATTGCCAGCCCTACATGTAAGGGGCAAGGGGGGTCAAGTCAGAGAGCAGTGGGTGGATCAAGTCAAGGTGGTGTGGGTCGATCAAGTAAAGATGCAGTTGGTGGAACAAGTCAAGGTTTAGTGGGTGGATCAAGTGAAGCTGTAGTGGGTGGGTTAAGAGCAAAAAAGAGGGACAAGGGAAAAAAGCCTCAAGTGCAGAAAGTAGGACCTAAGTGAAGTTGGATACACATGAAAGCATGACTAATCAAGTTATTTGGCTACCTTTTGTTTAAGATTATAAACTTGTAATGATGCTTTTGTTCAAACATGTTTAATCTAGATAATTACATCTTTTGCAACTACCTAAATTAGTGATGTAATTAAGTTGATACTAGCCATATGTCATGCTACATTTCTGGTTGTAATGATCAATGTGGTAAACATTTCTAGTTACTTTTCATGTTTTGATCTTGTGTGTTTCTCATTCCATTCCAATGTTTGATAAATGACCAAAACTCATTACATTCCATTGTTTGATAAATGTCCAAAACTCATTTCTAGTTGTGATGATCAATATGTGGTGATCTCGTCTTTTTCTCATTCCATTCCAATGTTTGATAGATTGTCATATGTCACACTAAATGCCATTTTCTTTATTTACTTATAGTGTTTTGATCTTATGTTTTTCTCATTCCATTCCAATGTTTGATAAATGGACAAAACTCTTTCCATTCCATTCCAACATTCCTGGTCAATGACAAAAAAAACAATGCTTTTATAATTACCATAATACACAATACCATTAAACTGATTAACCAAAACCATACATTACATTAACATTCTAATACATGACATCCCATCCCAAATCAACTGGTAATATCCCATTCCAGTTCTATACACCCATCCGACATTACATATCCAAAATACATTGACCAAATACATCCCCAAATCCAACTTCTACTTAGTGCATACATATATAAACGAAAAAAAAGAACCATGACAGAAGAAGCATCCACTTCAGCTTCACAACATCTACACGAGCTTGACTCAACATCTACACGAGCTTGACTCAACATCATTTGAACATTGTTTAGTTTCCTTAGCAAGCCAAGAATCACCTCCACAACCCTATGGCACATCGGATCGTCCACCCACCCAAGAAATGGACAGCTTCGACCGTTTTGAGCACAAGACCATAGTCGCCTTCCTGGGTGGAGGTCCGTCCAAGATGTGACTCTCACGACAACACTTCTACACATACAAATCACCATTCCTGGAAGAGAGGAGAGCTTCGATTTTTCAGAGATGGTTGCTTGATTTTTCTGAAAGTTGGCAAGGGCTTTTTAAAGGGGGTGGAGAAGCTGATGTGAAAATACCAAAATATCCCCATATTTTTTTGAACTTAATCACCCAAACGGCTACAAACTGACGGAGTTATGAAAAAGGGCCTCAAGTGCAACTTTTGCAAACCACAAGGGCCAAACACATAAAAAAATTAGCAGGAACTAAGTTTGTTACTTTTGGCAAACCACAAGGACCTCCAGAAAAGCTTTGCAACTCAATGACCTAAAAACCCGATCAATGCAAGGAAGTCGGCATTTTGTTAGATCAAATCCCTTTTTAGCGGCATTTTTGCCCATAAAACGACGGTGTTGCTATTTTGACATGTTTCGTTATGAAAGCTTGATTTGTTTGATCAAATCGGAGATGGGGAAGATTCCAGTGAAGATAAAGGCGGTGGTGTACGGATTATCGCCGTTTCAGCAGAAGGTGATGCCTGGTCTATGGAAGGAACTCACCAATAAAATCACAACAAAGTCACCGAGAATTGGCTTAGCGCTATCCTCCTTGTGGGCCCCGTCGTTGGCACCTACTCGTAATTCCACAACCCTCTCTCTCTCTCGTATGTTTATTTGTTAAAAACTAGAAATACAATTTATTTATTTAATTTTATTTTCAGCAATGTATTTTTTCCGTCCATTTTATACAACATATTTCATACCTCAAAGGCTCAAACAACGGCGAAAGTGATTGTTTGAAATCAAGGGAAATTAATATATAGCTATTACATATATAAAAAAAGTTAGTTTTCTAATGTGGAGATTGACATAATATAAATTGTTCCCTTGTGCATTTAATCCAATTATCTATCTAAGAATTTTTATATGGGAAACTTTCTTGAATTTAAATGATGTTAGAAACTGTTGTATATAATTTATGAATGTAGGTACGTTCAGAATTATAAGGAAAGAGAGAAGATGGAGCATAGATATTGAAACTAAAGTCACAACTTCGAGTAAACTTGAATAAGATGGTTAAAGTTGGTTTTATCCGATACTTATTTTTTAGGCGAAAGTTGCTTATAAACCTATGGATAAATTATATCTTTTTCGTCTTTGTGATTCATTGAAAATCCTGAAAAGAATCATTATCCCATTTTGTAACGTTTTCCCTTTAAAGGTGGATGACATTTAAAACATGGTGACTCTTGTGGGTCTATTTATAGTTTTAACTTTTTATTGTTTTATTGTAATAATTATTATTTTTAAGAATATATGACTCTTTGGATCGACGAAACCCTCCGGCGTTTCTACATAAAAAAAGATTTTTTAATCCATGAAACTACACTAGTTCTTGGAGACCCCTCTTCGTATGGAACTTCTTGTCATGTTTATATTATTATTTTTTTCTTGCTTTTCTAAAGTTATATTTTTTAAAGATTCTAATTGACTTTTTATTTTATAATTTTGCTATTGTTTTTTAAACAATGAATATTTAGATTATATTCAGAATGGATGTTGTGAATGGACCTTGGGGGTGGGGGTGCAATTGGGGCTAATTATAATCTTTTTATCGAGGGTCCGCAAACTTATTTTTGTAACGTTTTACACAAGCCAAATTGCCAAAATGTAGTACAAAACTACACATACTCGTAATCAAGAGAACAAAAGCTGCAATACATAAAATAAGATAGAGGAAAATTTCAAATGGAAAACCACAATATAGACCGTAGAATGGTTCAACCTGAATATGAGGCTACAACCATTTTTCTGATTAACTTGTTAAACAAATCCACTAAAGATCACTTCTTTTGGTGGAGTGAAAACCTTAATAAAAGACTAATCTCTTTACTAGAAGATGGTGTGTGATCACGCACGCAAATAATAAACGGTAAGTGGAGACTTAATATGTGAAAATGTCAATGTAAGAACTTCAAGTTGTTCGAGAAAATGTTATAGAATTAGGAGGCAAAGAGTTTCTTTTGCTATTATCAAAACCTTGGGTGTCAAAATTGAAAAAGATCTTAAACGCCTTTATGAAGATTTGATTAGAATCTCCTTCAATCAACCTTCCTTCTGTATTGTCAATCGTTATTGACGAGTCAAAAGATCCGTTCAACAAAAAATCTATTTCAAATGACCGTTGACATTTGAGTTCCCAAAAGGGAATGTTGGACTATCGACTTATATACCAACTTCGAGTAACATTTTCCCTCTAACACATCTGTTATGAACAAAAAGTTTTGGTTTTTATAAAAAGCATCTTCACTCAGTGTCTAGGATTAACTTTGTAGTTGTTTACCAATGTATTTTTAGCATTGAATTAATCCTTCAAAATGCTCGGGTTGTATATCTCCGACTTGAATCTTATGGCACACAAAATATATGGCGAACCACACTTATACCAATTTTTGTTTGATTTTTTTTCTCTTGAGGTCACTAGCTTGCATAATGTTCTTTTATAAATTACAATGAGGCTATTAATAATAGCTGTTATGTGCTAACTAATAATTAAATACAATTTATATACACTTACATCAACAATCCATCCCTTGATGATGACAAACGTGATGAGTTTTTTTGTTATAGAAAATAAGGCGATTTCATGAAAATCACCTCAAACCGTTTAAATTTAAAACACATATTCGAATTCTTCGATTTTATTGAAGAAAAAGAACAATAGGAGTTTTTGTAATAAAAACAAAGTAATTCTATTTGAAAGTGGATACCAAAAGACCGATATATTGTAAATACTTATCAATTAGTTAGAGAGTGATTATATCTCCCATTTGCCCACCAATTTATAATTATGTGTTTTTATCCTCTTGTTAAAAATTAAGTTACTCATTGGTTCCTTTTTGTATAGGGATCAATAGTGTCACTACCAATACAGTTTAGGGACTAAAACTCAAACTTTCTTATCAATTTATTTGACCGCCGTTCGAAATTTCAAACTTCCACCTAGTCTCTTCCTTACACCATTGAGTCGATTTCTGGTAAGTTCGAGCCCTGTTCATGAATCTCTCAGCTAACATTATTTGTCAAAAAAACTTCCATTCTGTTGCTTATGTTCTTTTTTATTTATTTATTGGTTTTATTCTTTAAAAATATGATGGGCGCGTTAATGCAAACATTACTAAGAACTAGCAGATACCAGAGAAGGGTTTTCAAAATTTTAAACATGTATGGTGCTCGGATTATCTTATTATCATCAGTATTTGATTAGGAATCTCCATCTGCACGATATATTGTTTTTTTTTTCTGATTTTGGGCGCTGTTGCAAAAACCCTAATTTCGTATCCTGAGACAGCTAAAAGTGTGACCCTAAGATTTCTCATTTGTTGCTTCTAGAGTTCTCATTCTAGAAACTTTGCGCTTCATTGAGTTTTCAAGAATTTGTATTGTGTTATTATAGTTCCATTCTTTGATATTAACTTGGGAAAACTCTGCCTAACATCTGGAAGTTCATTCCAAGGAGAGTAATTGATCTAAGTACTATCAGTTCCCTTTTATCCTCAGTTTTGAGATCTATGTATTCATTTTTATGCTCAGCTGTTGTCATTAGAATGTGACGGTTTTTATGCTAATCATCTTTTTCTACACAATATTCCCTGAATAAATATAGTGCTAAACATTGAGTTCTCATGGACTGCGTTTAAATGAGTATGATACTTTCTTAAACTCAAAATTTATAGATTTTCTAGTCTTCCGGCATAGCAACAAGTGATTTGATGGCTGAGGAGATTACATCCAACAGTTATGAAGAGGCTCGCAAGCAACAACTACTTGAGAACAAAAAGAGACTCGAGGTATTTAACCTTCCAACTTTATGTAATTTGAGTTGATGATAAATAATGGTAAAACTGCTCCTTTCAAACACATATGAATGTTTAAATGTCTCTCTTTACAGAATACACATTTTCTCATCACTTGATCTTCAACATAATGTCATATTTACTAGAAAAACACACAATTTAAAATCATTTTTCAAGACAACCAACGTAGACAAACGAAAACAAACGATATAGGCCTAGGCCGTGTTTTCAAAATGTTAAGTTGAGTATATGCTTCTTATGCTTATTGTTTTTGAAGGAACTGGGAATCTTGAAGATTACTAAAAGCCTATCCGATATTTCAAAATCTGAGAAGAAGTCCAAGGTATGGATTTTCTACACTTATTCATTAACCTTCATGATAAAATTGATCACGTACATGACATAATTTTCATTTGTTTGAACTTTGAAGCAGCAACGTGAAGTGAAACTAAAAATAAGGAATTCCCCAATAACAGAACCAAGGCGTTCAACGCGTGAACGCAACCCCATTGTTTCATATCATGATGATGTAAGTCCATCTCCATCATCAATGTTGTTTAATGAAGTTCCTTAATAAATAAATGACAAGAATGACTAATTTCTAAATCTTCTTGTTTATACAGGTTGATATAGGTCTCCCATCTGTGAGGAGATCAAAATCCAATTCTTCATGGGCAAGGTTCAAACAGCATATTGCTACCAAATTGGTTGTTAACTCATGTCACATAAAACTCATAATGATGATATTGTTTTTCAGTTATCTTGCAAGACCATTGGAAGAAGTCAAAATGGCAAGATATGAAGAAAGGGTTAAAGCGATGAAGTCTGCAGAGAAACTCCAAAGCAATTTGCAGTCTGAATTTCCATCTTTTGTAAAATCAATGCTCCGTTCTCATGTTTACAGTTGCTTTTGGTTGGTGAGTAATAAAAATATTCAACTTTTTTACATAATATTATAAAAGCTAATCAAACTATGTTTGGTTGATTTTATATTTCTTAAGGGGCTACCGATGTCATTCTGCAAGAAACATCTTCCAAAGTCTACAGTGAATATGATACTAGAAGATGAAGATGGGAATGAATACGATTGTGTATTTATTAGTGAGAGAACTGGAATCAGTGGTGGATGGAGAGCATTTGCTTTAGAACATAAACTGGATGATGGTGATGCTTTGGTGTTCGAATTGGTTGAGCCAAAAAGATTCAAGGTAAATACTTTATTATGCATTGAAACATAAACTAGAGGTTTCATGTTTGATGCTACTGCAGATTCATGTAGTTAAAGCATCAGATGGTGGAAGTGTAGATAATGATGATAATGATGATGAGGAAGTAGAAGATGTTGAAACAAAAAAGTCTTCAAGGGGAAGACCTAAGAAGCGCAAAACAACAGATGAGAGTCCAAAAGAAAACGGGAAAAAGTCAACTGCAAAAAAAGGAGGTCAACCCGAAAAGCCAAAGAAGTCAAAGGAAACTGTAATGGGTACTCGGCGTTCTACTAGAGGGGTGAAAAACTGATCCAAGTAAGTAAAAGATTTTGATCATCTTCATCTATCATCTTATAGATGTTGGCATGAATGTTGTGACAGAAGCTCATGGCTTCAATTAGTATTAGTTTCAATATGACACTAATTCTTCCTAAAATTATTATGGAAATGGTTTGAAAGCGCATTATGATTTTAATTATTTCTTATGTTCTTGTTTCTTTACGCTTTTGTTTGGAGGCAAAGTTGTGATTTCGTTAAACGGACACAAAGACTACACTTGGTGACGATTTTTTAGAAAGAATGACTTAATAGAAAAAGTCTTTTTCTTGTTTAACTTTCTACAAATTTGTACCAAATGAATTGTCATTTTCTCAAATAACTTTTAAAAGTGAATTAATGAGACATGTTATCACATATTATATTTGAATTGTGGTTCTAATGAAAAAGCAACCATTAAAAATTGGAGATTAGACATTATTTACTCCTGTTGTCTTGTGCTGTTTTATATTGACTTTGTTAAATAAACATTTATATTTTGAAGTGCGATGTATATTATTTAGTTCTTGAGAAAAAAAAATGATAACTATATGAGGGTAACTCATAATACAAAAAAGAATTGGTGTTAAAGTTGTAGAAAGTTATTTGGTGATTCTCATCTCCGTAATTGCAAGTTTGATAGATTTAGATTAAAAACAAAGACCGTGTGAAATACAAAAAAATGAGGCTCCTTGATTTGAGAGTTGAAGTCAAAGTAAGAAAATTTATAAAAAAGAAAATATATATATAAATATAAAAACATGATATTATTTTAGACTATTGGGTGTGGGCAACGGGGTTATGATGCCAAATATTGCCACCTCATATTTTCTCACATTTTAACATGTTATAACATGAAGTGGGGGGTGGTGTTCCCATGTTATAACATGGTGTTAAGAGGAGAGAGAAAGAGAGAAAAAGAAAAGGAAATAATCTGATTAGGTGTTGCCTCTTATGCTCGTTACCACATTTCATAATGCCACATCCCATAACTAGAGGCGGGGGCGGTGTTCCCCCCGTGGTAACGCCGTTAAGGCTGTGCCACGTAGACAATAACGAACCTTAACGGCCCCATACCGAACAGTCTTAATTCTAACCGGTCGTATTAGCTATTAGCCTAACATTAATTTGTTCAATTGAATATAAAAAATATATATAATCATATAAAAATATGTGGTGATCATAATCTTGTAAACAGAGGGTCAACATGCGAAGTTAAAGTAAAACAATTAATATAAAACGTATAAAATATGAAAAGAGGCTACATGATTTTGAATCAAACGAATTAGCGTCATGTTTTGTTTAACTGTAGACCAATGTATATATTCAAAGAAAAATATATATGATGACAACCTTAGTATGCAAGTTTGACATTTAAAGTTTAAATTAACATTATACATTTATAGTAGATTTAAAAAAAAAAAAAAAAAACTGCAATTCCATTGTTCTTTTAAACAACAACCAACCAAACAAATACAAAAAATAATTACATCAAAACTTGAGACTACTTAAATTCGAATCACACATGTTAGCATCAATGCTTCATCTTGTTCAACAAAATAAGGAATTAAATATATAACCTTGACAAAATATATGATAATTATAATTGTGGAAGGAGTTACACTCTCAAATGAGAGGTCATGGGTTCAAGTCTTATTAGGAGACATAAGTGGTTTTAGGAGTAGGTTAGTTTGTTGGTTCAAAAAAAAATTATAATCGTGGAAATTAAAAATTTGCTAGATATTGGAAAGAAAAAGTGAATGGTGTGATAATCAATAATCATGGATGTCATATTGAGATGTATTTATTCATTGTTCTTAGGCGTTGTACTATACTCACCACGCCATGGGCGTGGTGCTAAGGTGGCTACTTGCCCCTGCCGTGCATACCACCCCCTTGGTACGTGTTGCTGATGTGGAGTGGCTCCCTGTGACTATGGTTAACCTTCATCACGCACAATCCTTTTCTTGTTTGACGCCTCTTCACGACCATATGAACACCACCCCCTTGGTAAGTGGCAACATTCTACATCCTTAAGTGTATAAAAGCCTAGCCTAAGCTTTTTGAAGTGGCAACACTTCACACTCACATAGGCAGTCCTTCTATATCATGCACCTGTTAATGCATTTTTCCAAAATAACTATTAAGAACTTAATCAACCTACTTTAACTTACAAGTTATAAGCACATACATTGGGATGTAATACCATAAATGTGCTCCAATCTCCATAAGCAAGCTTTCCGTATTGAATTTAACTTTTAACAGTGTATTAGAAGGGAATTGGGTATCTCACCCGTAAAGATATTAAGTGGACCTTAAACTCATCCCTATAACAAACGTTCTTACCAAGTCTCTAGCCAACCCCTTCGTCAAGTGATCATTTAAATTTTGTTGATATCGAACAAACTTTATAGAAATGATACCATGAGTAATAAGCTCACATACCATATTATGCCTAACACCTAAATGTCGCGATATTCCATTATACACTTGACTGTATGTTTTTGCTAAGGTGCCAACACTAACACAATGTATAGAAACATGTGATATAGGCTTTGGCCACAAAAAAATTTCATAGATCAAATTCCTTAACCATTATGCTTCTTTTCCGACAGTTGTAAGGGCTACAAATTCAGATTCCATAGTTGAATGTTTGATGCATGTTCGTTTCTTAGAAGCCCATGAAATGACACATTTAACAAGAAGAAACACCCAACCAGTTGTAGAAGAGTGGTCTTTTTATATTTTTAATCCAACTAGCATCTGAATATCCATTTATGACAGAAGGAAACCCTACATAAGTCAAATCATAATCCATGGTTTTCTTAAGATACTTCAGCACCAACCTTACTGCTTTCTAGTGATGAGTACCAGGATTGCTAGTAAAACCTACTTAGCTTTCCTACGACAAATGAAATATCAAGCCTTGTGTTGGTCATAACATACATCAAACATCTAATGACCTTTAAATATTCAAGTTGTGAACTGCTTCACCAGTATTTGGCATAAGTTTCATATTTGGATCAAAAGGAGTACTCACAGGAGAACATTCTGAACAATTGAACTTCTTAAGTACTTTCTCAATGTAATGAGACTGTGAAATTAAGATTCCTTGATGTTCACGTTTCTTATTCCAAGAAACACTTCCGCACCCCCATATCCTTCATGGAGAACTGAGATGATAAAAACTCTTTGGTAATGTCAACTTGCCTTTGATCAGTACCAAAGATCAAAATATTATCTATATATAAGCATATGATCACTCCTTTACCAAGCTCATCAAATTTACTATATACACACTTGTCTGATTGATTCAACTTAAAACCATATGACAAGACAAACACCATCAAACTTCTTATGCCACTGTTTAGGTGTTTTGTTTCAGCCCATACAACAATTTCACTAACTTATACACTTTATGCTCAGTTTCGGGCATAATAAAACCCTCAGGTTGTTTCATATATACCTCTTCCTCCTTATCACCATTCAAGAATGCTTTTTTAACATCCATTTGATGAATGACCAGATTATGAATTGTTGTTAAGGCAATCAACAATCTAATGGTAGATATACGAGCAACAGGAGCATAAGTATCAAAGTAGTCAATGTGAGGTCTTTGTCTGAAACCTTGAATAACCAATCGAGCTTTAAACTTGTTGATTGATCCATCAACTTTCATCTTCCTTTTCACTTTTGAATATCTACTTGCAACCCAAAGGTTTGCATCCAGGAGGAAGATCAGACAAAACCCAAGTATTATATCCCATAATAGAATCCATCTCATCATCTATTGTTTCTTTCCAGAAAGCAACATCTTGAGATTTCATTGCATCATCATATGTTTTAGATATTCTTCAATGCTAAAACAATATGACATGCAATCTCATCTAGAACCCTAAACTAGGTAAAGTTGAAAATCATTACCAAATGATTTAGCTTTCCTTTGTCTTTTGCTTCTTCTAAGCTCATGTGATTCATTTGAATCAGGTACAACTTCCTTGGTAGTTTCATTGGAACTAGGGACCATATCCTTTGGTTTAGGTATGGATAAAAAATGATTTTTATCATATCCAATGAAGATACAATCAATACCTCTTTCACTCAAAGTCTTCATCTTTGGTTTAGTCAGCCTTACAACTGCCCGGCAACCCCAAACTTTAATATTCCTAAGTTTGGTTTCCTTTCGTACTAAAGTTCATAGGGAGTTATCTTGTTCCTTTTGTTTGGAACTCTATTTAGAAGATAACAAGTTGTTAGCATAGTTTCTCCCTAAAATCCATCACTTAAACCTGAATATGACAACATAGAATTCACCATCTCCTCTCAGAAATCCCATTTTGTTGAAGAGTATATGTAACTGTTATTTCATGTATTATACCAACAGACTGGAAATAACTAGGATCATAATACTTCATTAAAAGTTCTGTCCCTTGGACCCCGCTAGGGGCGCTGCCCCCGGATTCCTGAGTTTACATTTATCACTCTGACAGTCTCAGTGAGTAAATAGAGCCCAACCTATCTCAACATTAATAATAACTATACTAAAGTATATTGATAACACTAAAATCACCAACATTTTTACTTTGAGTTATCCATTTTCATTGAGGTCTTTCACACAAAGTCTCTCCCTTCTGGAGATTATAAGGTTCTCTCTCACATATATAAGTACAAAAACCATCACCAATTATTTTCTCTACTCATGCCATTTTACTCCTTCAAGGCTCTAACTCATCATCCACTTCTACCTTTAGTGCTATAAACTTCAGTCAAAAACTTTGGCTTCTTTGGTTTTGGAAATGTTACAAAAACAAAATCAAAATTTTAATGAGCTTAAATTGGTGAGCATGAATAGAAACAGAATATGATGAGAGGACTGCCAGGTAGAGAGAGTGAAAGGAGACAAGGAGTGGTGAAGCCATCAAAAACAACCATTAGCAGAGGAGTCATCTGACGTCAATATGTTTCTCTCTGTTTGGGATAAACAAGCACATATGGAGAGGGAATAAATGCAGTTGTTTACTTATTACTCAGAGAACTGGAATTAGTGGTTGATAACAAGACATTTGCATGGTGATGCTTTGGTAATCGAATTAATAGAACCAAAAAGATTCAAGGTATGTTTTATAAATTGGAATACTTTATTTGTCGTCTAATATTGGCAGTGTTGCTATTATATGCAAAATGTTAAGAGGTTGAATATTTTAGCAAAAAGTAAAAAGTAAAGTCGTGTTGCTATTATATGCAAAATGTTAAGAGGTTGAATATTTTAATGCTACAGTTCCTACTGCAATTTCATGTAGTTAAAGAATCAGATGGTGGAGGTGTATATATATGATTATGCTGCTGATGTTAAAACATAAGTGCTTTATAATGAACGAAAGCATGATGAACCATAGACAAACATTAAAATTCAAATCACAAATTGTTCTTTCATTGCAATATCCAAAACATAGAAAAAGATGAAATAAACCTTGTTCAAGTAAACATACAAAACTGAGTTTAAATACTCTAAAAATCCTGATACCAAATAAATAATCCAACTTAAGCAACAGCATCTAGAAAAGCTCTCCCAGGCTGGCGATTTGCAAGGGGTCCATGACATCCAAGAAGCTGCAATGTAAATTACAAGATTACCCATCAGCAACTGTTATACCAAAACTCAATTACAATTAAAGTTTTCTGATATGATTAAGCCATTAAAAGAAATACATACCTTAGCGTTAACACCATCAGACATGATTCTGTTCTCAGATTTCCATTGCACATAATCAGTTCGGCTAAACTTGGTGAATCCCCTGAAATCAACACAACAAAAGATTAGGAAAACGTTAAATAGAACAGAATTCTTCATTCAACATAGTGTATAAAGTAAAAAATGGGATTTGGGAAAAATAGTTTTAAATTTATACCATTTCCTGCTGACAATGATCTTTTGACGACCAGGGAACTTGAACTTAGCACGACGAAGTGCCTCCTGGGCATGCTGGCTGTTACCATCCTTGCATCGAACAGAAAGGAGAACTTGGCCGATGCTAACACGGGCACATACACCCTGTGGTTTCCCAAAAGCACCTCTCATACCAGTTTGGAGTCTATCAGCTCCAGCACACGAAAGCATCTTGTTGATACGCAACACATGGAAAGGATGAACCCTAACCCTCAAATGGAAAGCATCCTTTCCTGCAAACTTGGTCATATACTTATTGCAGGCAATACGTGCAGCTTCAAGTGCCTCACTGGAGACGTTTTCCTTCTCCCAACTGACCAAATGAACACAGAAAGGGAATTCATCGACTCCCTTCTTCTTCATGCCAACATCATAGATCCTGATTTTCGGATCAGGAACACCACGGCAGTATCGGGATTTGGGATAGGGCTTGTTCTTGATCTGCCTGTAACACCTAGCGGGTCCTGAGCGATACAATTAATATGTGTCAGGATGAAATCTTACATAATTGACATATCAGATTATTTAACTTCTGAAACAATGAAGATCATCAACACTAATTCGCTATCAACAAAGCAACTCAACAAACAACCTTGAAACAATCCATTTCCGAGGCATATATCGTAAGTTATAAAAGATGATTAACTGTCCTACCAAAGTTCAAATTTATGGAATCGACAAAACGTATTCGGACTTGTGGTTTGACCAGATCCAAATCATAACATAAAAACATAAATGATGAAATCAACGACGGGAAATTAATTTTAGATAGTTCAAATTGCAACGATTAGCAAAAAGCAATGAATCAATTGAGGAGAAAACGTACTTCTTCCCATTGCTGATTTTTCTTCGAGAGATATGCTGCGCAATATCGGACACAAGAACCCTAATTAGGTTACGATGAAATAGCGTTTATATAGTTGTTTTATGGGCCTGATGGGCTTACGTATGCTGATTCGTCATTGGCGTGCTGAATTGGGTTGGTGGTGATTATGGGCTTCTAGAAGTGTAACCCAATCCAAGACACGTTCTTCGATCACCGACTATTGTAAAATATGTATTCAGGTTGAATTTGGCAACCCAAAATAGAAGCGCGTAGTTCCGTTATCTGTGACCTCTGTTATTTTCAGATTTATGTGAGGGCATTTTTGTAAAAAGCATTTTTCTGCTAATATTATTTAGGGTAAATTACACGAATCGTCCCTCGTGCAGGTGCCGAAAAGCACGTTTAGTCCCTATTTTCAAAAATTAAGTCGGACGGTCCCTTGTTTGGTTTAAAGTTGCATGTTTCATCCCTAAAAGACGATTTTGTTGCAGGTTTAGTCCATACCAGATTTAAAATGACAATAATGCCCCTGTGTATTTTTTTTCAATTAATCTAATATTTATTTATCATTTAAAAAAGGAAATTGAGCCCACTTTCACCCATCCTCTACATCTCCCCTTTCCTTTTCTTTCAGTATTGTAGAACCCGCCGGCAAAATCATATGCTTCTGGCAAGCTTCAAGATACCCATGAAGTCGATATGCACCTCAAAAGCTACCATAAATCCGAAACCTAAATCAGACACCATAGGAGCAAGGTTACCTCCTCTCTATCTGATTTTGTGATGGGGGAAGCCATCACCAGAAAGATATGAAGAATAGTCGATCTCTTTCCCTCTTCTCCGTTCTCAATGTAGAGCTGTCACTCTTTCTTAATTCTCTATTCGAATCAGAGGCGAAGGCGTTATAATCGGAGGCGGAAGCGGACACTATCTCCGACGCCATGGTTATACAGGGTTGCAGATGGGTTGAAACCCGTTTTAGATCCGTTCAAATCGGTACCAACTGCCTTTCAAATATGGATGAATTGGAATGCTGGTCTCTCTCTTTTTTTATTTTGTTTATAATTGTACTTGTTTATTAGAAAACAATCGATGTATGGGAAATTTTACAATCGATGATTGTCAGATTTTAACCTAGATTGATTTTTTGGATCTCTTTTACATCTGGATTTTTGGATGCACCATGTAAGGAAATCATACAAACCATAAGTCTGATTGAATGGAGAGCATATAAGGATAATTGATGAAGAAGACGGGTGCAAGGTTGAGATCGAGGAAGAAGTTGTCGGCATATGTTTAGATTGATCTCCTTCTTCACATATGTCCAGATCGATTTCTGCCTAAGGTTTCAGATCAAGGAAGAAGCCAGGTGCAAGGTTTTCAGATTATGATTTGGTTGGAGGAGGACATGGCAGTGATAGGTGGTGGTGTCAGAGGTGCTAGCGATGATAGGTGGTGTTGGGCAATCTGTGGTAAATCTTGAGATGGGGAAACTCAAATGGTTCCATTTCCAAATCTGAAACTGGAGAGACGCAAGTATGAGATCAGAATAGGGGAAACAGGAGAAGAGAATAAAATAGAGACTGAACTTGGCCGGTGTCTTGGAGTCGATCTCCTCTGTATGAAACCGGAGATGTCGAGGACTTTCCGAAGGAGTTGTTGGAGCATTGAAGTCGGTCGTTGTGGGTGGTAACGTGTGACAACCGTCAAATTTCGGTCAAGTCAAAGTCAAACAAAGTCAACAAGTCAAACCGTTCAACTCCAATAACCCTTGTATGTTAGGGTTTACGTTATGTAATCACTGTACAATTCGCTATTTTAATGAGAAAACATCATTTCGAAAATTCATGTGTTTGATTTTCCTTAGCCTTAACAGTGCTAAACAACGAACCAAAGCGAAACTATAAAACACTATTGCACAATCATCGGGAGTGTGTAGGACACTAAATCATGGCTTAACGGGGTTTACGGACCTTGCGTTTCAAAGCCAAACACTCAAAAAGGTCTCAAAAGAACTCTCTCTCAATCTCTTTCACTCAATCTCTCTCTATTAGAAATCTCTCCCAAATCTCTCTCAAAAGTTCCTTTAACTTTTTGTAATCATTCGGGTCATCACGACCCTTAACCGGGTCAAAAACCACTTGAAACGGGGTATTAAAACGGGTTAAATAGAATAGCTAAGGACCCAAAACCGAAGCTTCAGGACCGAAGCCTCGCATCCGAAGTGCTCAGGACCGAAGCCTCAGGACCGAAGCCTCGGACCGAAGCCTCGGACCGAAGCCTCAGGACGAAGCCTCCGGTCCGAACCTCGGCCCCCGGACCGAGCAACTTCGCAGATTCAGCTTTTTCTCCCGGTTTTCGACTACGACGACGTTCGTTTTAACTCCATTTTCATTATTTTAACGTGGGATTTTCACCCAAAACTTTATTTTATAAACTAAGGCCCCAAAATATATAAATCTCCAGGGTTTTTATAAAATATATTAAAAGAATTAGTGGTTGAACTAATTATTGAGGGAATATTTGCTTTTCCTTAATTTATGGCAAAAGCAAACCCACCACCTCACTCTATGATTAGCCACTCTTCCCACTACCCCTTGTCTCCTTAGTGGACCTTTACACCCAATTTCCAGCTCTCCCACGTTTAAGAGCTGGAGGATTGATCCTCCTCCTCATTCTCCATAAAATTCTTTCATTCTACACTTAGCAACCAAGAACACTCTCCAAAATTCTCTCATCTTTTCTCTCAACTTCAAGAACTTCAAGGCTTTCTCCAGGGATTTCTTTCTTCAATTAGTAAGTATTTCATCATTCACATAATTATTAAACTCCATTCTACTCAAATCATTGATATCTTACACAAGTTCTATCTTATTCGGTGTTAGATTCTCGAATCATCAAGACATCTTCTTAGTGTTCTTGGGTTGAACACTTCCTCTCTCTCACTTTCATCTACTGAAACCACATAAGGTGAGTTCATACCCCTACATTTACATGTTTTTCTTAAGTTTTAAGGGGGGAATACAAGTAAAATCATCAAGAACACAATTAAACTTTTCTATCAGATTACATCAGAAAAGATGAACTTCGATCACGGACTGTTTTGGTCAACTTAAATATTTTAGTTTTCAAAACTGTTCCAGGTGCAAGTAGTTCAAACTCTTAGCTTTAAAATGGCTACTTGCACATCTCCATATGATTTTTCTACAATTTATGGTGATTTTTACAAAACTGCCATCATTTCAGAGGCAAACCCGGACCAGTCTGTGATTATGGACATTTTCACCTCTGTTAGAGATCACTAAAAATCATGATAAAATTTACAAACAAACTAGACTCATATTCCAAACTCTCAAATTTGCGGATTTGGATTTGGAGCTTTGATGATTTTTCTATAAATTTTCTAAAACAGTAACAGAAACTGTTTTCAACAAAAGTTGCTGTCAATTTCATTTCACCTTGTAACATGTTGAGCAAGGTGTATATCTTATATGTATTATGTTATTGCAATATATGTCATTTTATCTTAATATTTAGACACACATCAGTTTACAAATGGATTTGGACATATGAATATAAAGAATAACAAGTGATTATAATCAAAGTACAACCGATATTTCAAACATTTAATAAACTATTTTAAATATAGTTTGCATACATTACTACGTACTACCCTTGGTTGATAAACTATAATAGGTATAGTTTATGATACATTACATAACACATACATTTTAAAAATGGTACATTTATACAAAGGATATTTCATTAAGCAAGGTACGGCCATACGGTACCAAGTTTTCATAACACGTAATTTCCGTTAACGATACATTCAACATTTACTTTTTTAAACTATTTTTAATATAGTTTGCATACTTACTCGTACTTACCTTGGTTGATAAACTATAATAGGTATAGTTATGATACATTACATAACACATACATTTAAAATGGTACATTTATACAAAGGATATTTTCATTAAGCAAGTCCGCCATACGGTACCAAGTTTTACATAACACGATTTCCGTTAACGATACATTCAAACATTTAAAAACTATTTTAAATATAGTTTCATACATTATACGTACTACCCTGGTTGTAAACTATAATAGGTATAGTTTATGATACATACATAGCACATACATTGAAATAGGGTACATTTATACAAAGGATATTTTCATTAAGCAAAGGTACGGCCATACGGTGGTACCAAGTTTTCATAACACGTAATTCCGTTAATGACTTTGTGAGACATTTACTTCAAATTACCATTAAGTCCTGTATTGTAACCAGAGTCTCCTTGAGGGAGAGAGCGTGATAGTTGTGTATAGATCTATATTGGGTTTGACACAAAACCACACCTAAGCTGCATGCAACAGCTAGACGGCAGGTCTGGGGTGACAAATGTCATAACATTTCCGACGCCTGAAGAACGTCGTTTCAGGCCAACTAGGTCATAGCATGGTTATAATACAACTGACATAAAGTATTAATAAACATTGGAATTTACGGGAACTTCATTAAAATTTAACGAGTTTATGTCGATTTTAAACTTGCATTGTTTTACTATAAATATGACAAATTACTTGTACATTTCGGTCTTTGGGTTTTAAGACTACATTTACACATTAAGGAAATATTGGATTTTCTAACACAAATACTACTTTCACAAACGAAAGGCTTTTAATAATACCAAACAAAAGCTTATGAACTCACCAACCTTTGTGTTGACACTTTTTCAAACAACTTGTATTCTCAGGAAATCATTAAACAGGTAATCAAGTGCTTTTGAGGATGGGACGCTAAGGCGTCTACTATTTCATATTTTGTCAACATATTGTAATTGATTCGTAAACATGTAATTCATAAATGATGTACTTTTTTTCAATTATATATATGTTGGTTGTGTTTGCTTGAATTACTATTACAATTGTTGTTTGATACTATACATGAAGTCCTCCACCCCCGACGTTTCCGCCATCCTTGGTTTGGGGGTGTGACAGATTGGTATCAGAGCACAGTTTATAGTGAATTAAGTATATCAAACCACATAAGATATACAAACTATAAACACAATTGGGACTAATAGTCTCTGATTTGTGCATTTTTCAATAAATATACTTTTAGAAAATAAATGATTTTTTATTAAAAGTATAAATACATGCATACATGCTCATATAGTGTCATAACTAGAAGAACATAAAATAAAAGAAGAGGAGTTGTACATTATGGGTATGCCTTGGTATATGTAATCAAGTCTGGGAAGGATATAGCCTGATCAACTATATCTGTCCGAGGGGTGACTTGCATATACTGGGGGATAGTCATAATGGGCAACAAATCTATCAACCTAACTACACCCTACAGAGAATACTTTAAGAATCGAATCTAAACAGCTAAAAATACTATAGGAGTATTTGGTGTACTATAACCAACTTATGTGAAAACTAAAGACCTCTATTAGTAGGCCTATGATAACTGAGTGCATACGCCAAGGTTATACATAATTAAAGATATTATAGACTCAGAATCTATGACTATTGCTCTACTTCCTGTTTCTTGTTTGGTTGTGGACTTAGAGTAGAGTCATTTATTCGAAAGTCTATTCTATCTCAAATTATGTATAACTGATATGCACTACGTGATTATAGACGTAACTAATAAGGATCACCCCTATAAGTAATTATAGGATTAGGCGTCTATTAATTATCTCTTCTACCCCTATTCTCGCAGGAGCAACATGATGTGTAAATTTAAACGCCGTACAAAACCTACTTCTACCCACTACCATAACTCCATCTCCAAGACGTTAACAGAAACACCAAGAATAGTTCACTAAAGTGCGAAAATATACATGTGTATATAAATGGTAAGGATATTTACTAAAAGGTTTATCAATGAAATAGGCATGCGTTATTTCATTGAATCTCACTACTTGTATTACA